TGGGATTTTTTCCCAGAGGAACCAGCGTGTGAACTCGTACATTTGTTTCGTTCATTTGTAGGGCAGAGGGAAGGCTTTGCCGGATCGGCTGCCTCTGCGTGTGGCCTGCGAAACAGCAGTCCGGCCACAAAGCCTGGGGAGGAGTTACCTAGGGCAGAGCCGGAAACAAAGGGTGCCGGGGCTGCGCCAGGCTCCGTTCGCCGCACCGGGTGTGGACCCTGGGCCCAGGGCCCAGGGCCGGAAGGAGCCCCCGCCTGCTTCTGTCTGGCCCGTGAGCTCAGTGTTTTACACTTTTAAGTGGTTGAGAAAAATCTGAACGAGAGCGTTTCCTGACGCCACGGTTGCGGGGTTCCGAACCCTGTGCCAGGAGCTGGGGATCTCTAGCAGGCATGCCTGGGGCCCCCGTACCGTCTGTGGCCGCGTGCTGCGGTGACCCGGGCAGGGTCTCCCCGCTCTGCGTGGGGGGGCTGTGCGCCCAGGTGGGGGTTCCTACAGGGCCTTCCCGGGGGTCCTGGCACAGGGCTCACTGGAGGGCCAGCAGAGGGGATGCGTAGGTCACAGTACATGAGGAGCTGGGGCAGCACGAGGCTGTCAAGCATGTGTGCGAAGGTTCTCGGCATCATTGCCGCGGACGGCTGGGGCCGGGAAGTCGCGGACGCCGTCTGCGGGCTATTGGCAGAGCCCAGTCCAGAATCCCCAGGGCTTGTCGAGAATGGATGACAGTTTCAGGGTGATGGATCCTTTGCTCTCGCTGGCCACCCACACACGTCAGCACACGGGTGCCCACTTTCCCCTGGGCGGGCTGAGCCAACGCCTGCCTTCCTGAGCCGAACACGAACGCGGGGTCTCAGTCTGAGGACATGCCCGGGAGACCGGAAGCGGCAGCATGGGCCGTCGGTGCCCAGAACATGGCTCTGTCCTGCGCCCCTTCCCGCGGGCGTCTGTGCACCTGAAGGGAAAAGAGAAAATCTTTCCTGCCGACACTCCTTCCTTCCGACCTGTCTGCCTGTTTTCCTGGGGGCAGCGGCTCTGGGTGCAGCTGGGGTCACCGCCCTGGCTTGTGCCTGAGGACCTGGGACGGGAAGGAGGGGCTGGCCCTGGACCCCTTCCTTCCCCCCACTGTCCCTCCCTCCGGGTCTCGTGTTGTGCTGTTTAGTGGGCTTCATGGAACATTCTGACCTGATCCTGGACAGTAGGTGTCTCCCTGCCTTCCCTGCGGTTTGCCTGTAAAGACTTAGACCCGGCGAATGAGGCTTGCAACGTCATGATTATTTAAATATCTCGCGGTACAAATCCAAGCCATAGGGCCACCTTCTCTGCAGAGGAAATAATGTCACTAAATCCCAGAGAAATCTAATATTTAAGCGTCGTCGCTGCCTGTATACGTTACTAATAAAATAACCTCCTGACACCTAAAACCAGCTTGGAAAGTATGTATGTTTGTCTTTGGAATGGGTCAGTACCCTGATTTTTTTTTCAGAATATCGGTTTTCATTTAAAGTTTTCTGTTTTGTGCTTTGAACTACTCTCAGGTTTTGTTTTGAATTGTACGTTGGAGAAAAACATATTTTGCTTTCCTCCCTGTTATCATATACGTTATTACGTATTTTTGCCAACCAGACTTTTAAGGAATGGGCCGGAAGGTCACCCAAGAGTTGGCCTGGGTGGGCATCCTGCCTCCGGGAGGTCCTGAGGGGTTGGGGCGGCCTTCTGGCCCTGCCCCGGCCGCCCCTCCTCGACACTGGGCTCCGCGGGACGCTGACACGTCGAGGCCCCCGAGGAAGGGGATGCGGCCTTGCGAGACCCCGGTTCTCCACCTCCCCGTAGTGGGACCCAGCCCTGCAAAAAGGAAGGTTCCTCAGTTTGGAGGCCGCCCACCCCGGGCAGGGCCCTTACGAGTTCTTCCTGTGGCTGCCCCTCTGTCCCTCCCTGCTGTCTGCCTCTCTGTCCCGCCTGCTGGGTAGAGTCCCGACTGCCCCTCTGTCCTGCCTGTTGTCTGTCCCTCTGTCCCGCCTGCTGGGTAGAGCCCCTGCCCACCCTGCACTCCTGTGAGCCAGGAGAGGCGGTCCTGGCTGCTTGGTGCCATATCAGGAGGCAGAGACGGCAAAGAACAGAACGTTTGACAAATTGCACCCCAGCGCCCACGTGCCTCCGCCGTCTGAACGGCCTTCTCTGGGGAATGTGCGATCCTGGATGTGTGGCCGCCGAGCTCACAGGCGGCTCCGTGGGAAACAGAGCCCTTGGGGCCACAGAGCCGCCTGGCGTTGGCTCCTTGTCAAATCACCCATTTCTCCCGTGGGCTCGTGGGAGAGGTGAGCCAGGTCACGTGAGCAAGGAGCTCGCTGTCTGCCTGTCCCCATCTCTCTGGGACTGCCCACCTGGCAGGGGTGGGGGCACGGTCCTTTCATGTTGTACCTGCAGGCTCCTGGGCTGAGAAGTGGCCTGGGGCGTCACCTGAGGACATGGTGCCCTGGGTGCCGCCTGTGACGGCTGCCAGCCCGCAGGCCGCCGTGTCGCAGGTCAGCAGCAGTGTTAACACAATGTCATAGTAACAATGTGCAAGACCGTCTTTTACTGTTTTATGGAACCGTCAGTCCACGGTAGGGTGGGAAGAAAGGGCAGAGCCAGCGAGCTGGCCCCTCCCGAGGGTGGCTGAGCCCGTGAGCGCGCTCCTCTGGGCGTGGCTGGCCGTGGGCCACCTCATGCAGGCCGTGGAGGAGCAGAGCCCATCAGCCGCGGCTCACAGGTCTCCTGTGATGGCTCCCGTCTTGAAAGCAACGTGGTTGTCAACACTGACACGGCTGAGAGCTGTGTCCCAGGCTGTCGTGGGCAAACGCGTCCAGCCACGCTGGCATTCCGGAAGGATGCGCCTGCGTCAGCACAGCCTGCCCTGTCCTGTGTCCACGAGCCCTGTGTAGGTGGAGGCATTGTGTCCGGGACCCTGCGTGGCAGCTGGCCGCAGCCGGTCCTGCCTGTCGGGTGCGGGTGCCGGTCCTAGCTGTCCCTCGGGCAGAGATGCTGGGTCCCCATGTGGGGCTATGCCCGTGGCTGGGTGGCCAGGCCTTGGACCCAGGCTCCTTGGCGTTTCCTCACCCGGCACCGGTGTTTCTTTGCTGACCCGCGATTTTCCCGTTTCTAACTTCAGTAACTTGGCTGAAGGAGGGAGTGGGCGCCTATCACACATGCAGACAGCGCGTGCTCACGGGCTTAGCAAATCCTTGAACGCACACCAGGGTCAGAGAGACCTCTGGAGGCGGGAAGCATGAGCCAAAATAAACAGGATGAAGTTTGTGTAACTTCTGGCTGTGAGTCATGCTTCAGAATCCTGCCGGTGGCTCCCAGTGAGGGAGAGGGGACAGACACACGGAGTCTGTCCCTGAGCCTCCTTTTGGGATGCTGTTCACTTACACTAAGGAGCCTGACACGTGAGAGGATCTGTGTGAGAAATTTTGCCTTCGTCTTGTGTCAGTAAAGTCTCATTTCTCCCGGACGGTTGGCTAAGGAACTTTTTGGGGCTCGGGAATGCTGTGCCAGATCTGACCTTGGCTTTGCTTGCCTTCGGGGTGCTTAGAGCCAAGCCCGCCTCTGACCTCCAGCCTCTGCTCCTGAGCCTGGTTCTTTCTCTGCCTTTCTTCCCTCTTCCCTGCGACCTCAGGCACGTTCGTGGCTTGTGTTTTGTGTACTTTCATGCTGTGAGAAAGGAAGATTAGGATGGGAACAAACAAAAACGAATTTGTCATTGTGTGTAAACGTTTCGTGACTTCCAGCCGTGACTCCTGTTTTTTCAAATCTACTCTGTAAATACCGAATTGAGTTAATTTTTTTTTTTAAAGTCAGCTGCAGAAGCAGTGCCAACTGCTTGCCCTCCTGTCCCCTGGTGTCCCCTCCTGTCCCCTGGTGTCCCCTCCTGATCGGGACACGTAGTTGCCCTCGGCAGTTCTGTCTCCAGGCTAATGCCGTTCAGCCCTCTCTCCACCCCATGCCCGAGGTGTTCTCAGACGTTCTCAGACGTCTATGTGATCCTGCCTTCTTTCCACTCCAAACCTCCCTAGTCTCCACTTCAGGAGAAGCCAGAGCCCCACTCCTGGCCTCCTGGAGCCCGGCCCGAGGCAGCACGGCGTCACGTTG